GAATCAAAACCAGCATCTCTTCCACATAATAATTTTGGAGAACTTTATCTGAGCCCAGATACATCTTCAGTGTATCCAAACCACATGACATCCAGTAATGACAAAGAAGCAGTGGATATTTTGCCATATTGTTATGCTGTTTCTGAAACTTCAGATCAAAATAATCCATCAGATGCAACAGATGAAACAAATCCTGGATGCAATGCATTAGAAAACTATTGTGTAAGAGAATTCTGCAATGAAGTTCCTCTAAAATCAGGTCAAAACTGTTTATTTTATATTAACAAGATGTCTCCCACATTCATGGCCTTTAAGGAAGATGAATGTAACCTAAGATCACCTGACGAAAAACACGATGAGAGAAAAGACTGTTGGACTGAAGATAGACAATATGAAGGCGGGGACTCAGAAATAGGAAACAATGAGGTAGCAAAAACAAATCCTTCATTTAAAAACTATTTTAATTAATCTGACCCAGAAAGGACTTTATTTCTTTGTGGAGATGGGAGAGTGTGGCTCTACAATTAAACTCTTTTACCACATGTATGCTGTGGTAAGTTGGGCAACTTTTTATTAACAGCACTTTAAAAAGGAAAGTTTGAACTGGAAATTGTTAATAAACCTTTGGGTTTAAACACTTAAGTGGTTAAATTTAATGCAACTGAAATATAAATGAAGTAAATTTCTACTTTATCAGATTAAATTAAAAATCACTGAATGCAAAATTTATTTTGAACCAATTTGCAGGCCAGTTTCGTAAGGATCAAGGTTTTGATTCACTTTTTCTTTTAAGTTGATACATGTGGCATGTCAGACTCCTTAGGCAGATTGCTTTTGTGAGCAATTGGATATTTTCATCACTTCTTGATGTAATAAATGCTGGAAAAAGTGTATCAGAAAAGTATGCCACTGGCAGTGGGTGAATTGTTTTTTGATAGCAACCTGTGGATGGAGAATTAGAAGCAATTTTATGTCTGAGGCTGCTATGGTCTAAACCAATATTCCCTAGTTTACCATGCACATTGAGGTTTTAAAATAAGATGCCAGGGACATATATATATAGAAGATGTCCCATTCATGCAGTAAAATAAGATAAACAGGCTAAAGTGAATTATATGAGTAGAAATAAATAAGTAGAAATAGAGGAATAAAATTTGCAGTTGGATTCAGTGTTTAGGAATGATTTGAATGCTTTCTGCTTGTATTAGGTGGTATTTCATTTTGGAAATAGCAACACTGTATGAATCTTGATGCGCTCCTCAGATTCCAGCCTTCTTAGTTTTAATGTTCCCTTTTGTCTCAGAAATAACATAAATTTCCTTGATGCTTGATCGGTCAACTTTAATGTCGTTCTCATGCTTCTATAATCCTTTTTTCTTTATGTCAAAATTATACTGCCAAAGCTTCTGCCTGCCAACTTCATAACTGTATCTTAAGACTTTTAAAAATGGCCTTTTCTTTGCAATTCATAAATAAAACAATTCAAGTGTGACTGAGAAGTCTTTTTCCTCTAACCCTAATTTTAATCTCATTGCCTTGCCTCTTTTTCCTGCAGTTGCTTGCTATAGCTTTTGAACTACAGTATAAAATGAGAACTTTTGTGCGCACTCTTCTCTTGCTTTGTCCTAATGATTTCAACCTCACATTGTCATAGAAGTGAAAATCAAATTAAAATGATGTGCTTATTGCCGGGTGGACAATATATAATTTTCACAGAGTTACTATTATCCTGATTCCTAGTTAACTTGTTTAGAAGCTGGATGTAGTTTTCAGTAAAGAATTCTTTTTATTTCTCAGAAATAGAAAAAAAAATTTTTTTAAGAAAACTAAAACAAAAAAAATCCAACTTCCTCCATTTAGAAAGAAAAGAGTGTTCTCTGAAATACTGAAGCTTTCAAACATGAGGTAGATTGGATGCAGAAGCAAAAATAAACTTAGAATTATGCTTTCTTTTCTACTATACATGAGGTTAAACATTAAAAAAGGATGTTCTTAATATTTATAAATAAGATAAACTCTTAGCAGTAAAACATTGGTTCCTCACTACTGGCAGTCCAAGAGGGCACTTCGGGTAGTCCTCTATGCAGATGCCACAATAAAATAACTTTATTTTTAAAAAGCCAAAATAGAAATTTGCCAAATCTGAGAAGATGTTCAAGTCTTCTCAGAGGCTGTCCATTTTAATTTTTAAAATATTCTAATTAATTGAGGGTGAGGTCTTATGACAGCTAGAAGAAAGACATATAGCATGAGTGCCGTGTTCTTAAGCCTTGGCTTATCAAATAGTCCTCAACACTTTTGATGATGAGATGGTGGTCCATACATAATAAAACTTTGAAACAGTGGCATTAGATCATTACTGCATTTGATACAATATTGATTGTCTTGGTACTAAAGATTCCAAAATTTTAGGCAGTTTTACTGCCTAAGCAACATTTTCTGTTGTGCCCATAAACAAAATTTTAAGTTCACTGAGTTCCTTTAATCCTGAATATAAAAAATAACTTGGAATCTTTCATGCTACATATGCTTCTTCATTGATTCCTTGAAGTCCTTCCTTTATCATTAATCTTCTTTGTTCAATAATCTGGTGCTTAAAATTGGACTGGGCTCTAAGTGTCTTGAATTTTGGATGTAGTTATAGAGAGAGTGCCTTGAAAATTCAAATCTACTCATTGGAATGATGTAAAAGTAAAATGCTGAAGATTCATTTTTATTCAAGGAGCAAAGGAAAAGCTTTTTTTGTAAAAAAAAAACAAAACTGGACGGGGGGAGCAGCCCCATCCCCAGGAGTGAGAGGCTTGGAGAAGGAGAGGCATCTAATGAGAGGAACTCTTGGGGACAGGGTGGTAAGTTAGTCTCCTCTACCCTATTCTGAAGAAATGGTAGACAGCTGAGAATCGCAGTAAGGCAGGGTGTGAGGAACAGAGGCTGGGAAAGGCATTAGAAGACTGTAGAATGGGGATGACAAGCAAAAGGGGAGATACGATGGAAGGCCAGGAGAGGATCATAGGGAAAGGATTGTCTTCCAGTACTTGAAGGACTGTCACAGAGAAGGGGGGATTGACTTATTCCCCAAAGAGCCAGAGGGCAGGACAAGTAATGGGTGGAAGAGAGATCCAACCTAGAAGTAAGGAGAAATTTTCTGACAGAACAATTAATGGAACAGCTTACCTCCCAGAGTTGTGGGTGCTCCATCACTGGAGGTTGTCACAAATAGACTGGACAACCATCTGATTGGGATGGTAGAAAGTTTCCTATCTTGAGCAGGAGATTGAACTAATAGACCTCTGAGGTCCTTTCCAGACCTACGATTCTGTGTTCTAAATTCCAATTCTTTCTTCTGCCCTTCCCCACCTACCTTAACCCAGGATCTTGGATGCTAGATTACTGGAGTCCTTAGACTCCAATTAGTTCTGTTGAAGCCCAGGCCTGTTTGTAATAAAACCATGCTCCTCCACAGCTTAATAATGGTGAAGAGGACGTCCCTGGTGTGTATCACCAAGACCTGGGTAGATGAGCACAGATGGCTTCCTCTGTCTAACCAGGTTTCGGGCTAGCTGTCTCAACCAGAAAAGGCAAGGACACTAGGAGACCACCTCACATTAGAAAACATTACTTATAATTTAAAGAACATAGGAGCCCTAGGGAAGAGTGGTCTTAATCTTCTCATATCAATCAACTGTAATCCTGCTCAATTCATATTTTTTTTCTTGTGCTGTTGTTGTTCCTGGCATTTGTCATGTCTGGTTGCAAGGTCCTTTGGTTTTGCACTGTGCTTGCTGCTGTTCTTATAACAATGTGTGGTCCAAGAAAAAGGGTTATTTTTCTTCTGGCAAGTTGCAGAGTCTGACCCTGATTTTTAAAATTACTTCTAGGCCAAATGATCTCTCAATCTTTAGCATAAGCCAGTCTGAACTAGTGGTTAAGGCATCAGGCTAGAAACTGGGTTTGTCTAGTCACTTTCTCTCGACCAACTCACATCACAAGGGGGTTGTTGCAGCGCAAATAGGAAGAGGAAGGAGCGGAAGGTATATTCCCTACCTTGAGTTATTTATAAAAATAATAAAGACAGAATAAATATTATTGCTTTTAATAGGATTCTGTCTTATTTCACTGGCCAATAAAGGTGAAAAAAAGTAACCCTCAAAATAACTTCTCTATGCATTTTACATGGCCTTATTCACAATTTTTAAGTTAGAGAAGAATATGAAACTTTACAATTATATAATTGTAAAGTTTCATATTCTGATTATAATATAGCTATATAATATTGTATTATCTTTGGGTATTTATATTTATGGAACCTTTGATTTTTAATTATGTCCATGAGAAATATTATTTCTCTGTGTGCTAGAAGAAGAAATAAAAGTAATTCTTTTGAATATTTATCTATATTGAAGACACTAAGGCATTAATTACTGTATGTATTTTTGGGAGAAAGTGAGAAAAAAACCTAGAATTTTGGGAAGAGGTATATATCACAAATGCAATAACTTATGTTCGTAGATTAGCATGCATGTAATTTAAATTTAACACACATTGTAATTAGTATGCCTTCAAAAACACTTTTTGTTTCTCAACTGTCCATAACATTTTGCTTTCAGTGGGTTTTTCTGAAACATCTCTTAATACAGTACGGTAAACCATTGAAAGATTATGAACTCTGGGCTTTATGCCATGAATGTTTGCTCACTCTGGAGACATATACAGATTATCCAGGTATGACCTTTGCAATTTTCTTTTATACTAATGTATTTTACTATTTTAATATTTACAGTATGCTTCATCCTTTTCAGAGCTCTCAAGATGGAATGAATTTGTACTTTTGAGATATGCATTTTGGCTTCCTTTTGTACCTTGTGGCCAGCCAGCTAATAAAAAGGAGGTTAGGAAAGGATAAGGGGCTATGTTGATCCCTTACAACAGAAAGATGGATTGTAAAATGAACTTCTTATATGTTTAATCTTAACCATAATTCAGATATTATTTACCACCTATGTCATGGGAAACTTGTGGGAGCCTCAGTTTCTAGAATACTTCACATTCCCTTTTTGTAGACTGTAGACTGATATATCTTTAAGGCATTCTTGAACAAGAATCTTAAACTGTGTATAATGACACATGAATACATATCGTCAATAATTCATCACATTTCTATTTTATTGTCTCCATGCCATCATATGCCACAAAGGAATTATAAAGTAAAGGCACAGTTTGGGAATTTTTAACATAGCCATTTAATATTTTGTGACTGTTATATAAACTCTCATTTAAGATGGTGTCTGGATGCTTATCTCTGTAATAATATCTCAGGTGAGCATCTGGGTGTTCATCTGGCAGGTAAAAATTCCACTATCAGTACAGATTGTTAATAGGTCCTTCTCTATTTATTTCAGAATTCTGGGCTTTCATGAATGTCTTTAATGCTTGTTTAGCACTTCACAAACTTTACCATAGACAATGTTCTTATTTGCAGCTTCGGCACCTTTAGGACCTCTGCTTTTATGCTTGTTTGTTTTTGTTTTTAGAAACCAAACTAATATAAGTGTGACAATTGCTTAAGCCACCATATTGTATATTCAAATTCACTGGGGTCTTGAATAGCCTGAGCAAAGTGCTAGCAACTACACAATCAATTATAGTACATCCAACCAAAAGGTCCTACAATGCACCATCATGCCAGTCTTGTAGAGCAGGGGGTCCCCAACTCCCGGTCCATGGACTGGTATTGGGTCGTGGCACGCCAGCAACCGGTCCGCACAAACAAGCAAAGCCCCATCTGTGGGATACAGGCAGTGCACAAAACCACGCATTCTCCAGCCCGTGGAAAAACTTTTCTCCATGGAACCGGTCCCTGGTGCCCAAAAAGTTGGGGACCTCTGTTATAGAATAACATTTCCCTACTCCTTAGGTTTATCCCAAAGGCTGAGAAGAGGTTTCGGCCATCTTACTTTAACTCCTACATAAAGTCAGGATTACAAGAAAATCCTCTGCTATTAAATAAAGCAGTGTATTACAGCAACTTTGAGATGTGTGGACCAACTGCCAGAATCCCACAGCCAGCAAAATTTATCAAAGGCACCCCATCTTTGAATGGCTACATAAGCTTCTAATGGACATATGATCAAGTAACACTGAACTTTGCTCTGTCAGAATTTAACATTTCATATTTTACTGTGATTTATAATCAAATAATCAAACAGATGTCAGTGATGTTATAAGTCCTGTTAATATTGTAAATAGTGTTAATGTTATTGTCTGTTTTCCAGCATATTTGTGTTTGGATTCTGTAGCAATAAATCATGATGGAAGTATTACTTTTGTTCCATATGGAAATGAAGGTAAATATATATTGTTGTTGTTAATATTTGTAAGTTTCATTTCATTTGGTTGCAAAAATTAAAATTGCAATTGCATTTTGTTTTACTTTTAGAATCATTGGATAGGTTTTACTTGGCTCCTGAGGCAGCAGAAGAGGGTTTTATTACTGAAAAGGTATTAGAATATATGAACTTTGCATTATATTTTAATGAAGATTCATCTTTAAAAAGGGCTATACTCACAAGACAAATTTAATCTAGATTTATACTGAGTGTACATAGTTTCTTTATATTTCAGGATGCTGCAATTTTGATTGATTTTTAGTATTCTTTTTGACAAGTGGAGATTCTGCCTACAAGCCTTAATTATAAAACACCTAGAGAATAAGTAGCATGCTGGTACATATACCTCTGCTATTTGTTGGTAACTTATAAGATAGGTGGTATTATTTTTCATTCAACTCTCATATATACAGAGAAGCAAAATACAGTTACAATTAATACAATTAACAAGAACAAGAAATAATTAAGATTCTAAAATCTGAAAAAAGTGGATATATTGTGATATGAAGAAGGCCAGTGATGATATGTTAAAGAGCGGAATTGAATGAGATAAAAATTAATGCTGAAAAAATAATAAGCTAGTCATGAATTCTGTGGGAATGTGAAACAATAAAGCTACAGATAAATGTCTTAAATATTGTTAAGAGTGAGCTGTAACTGTCCAGAGATACATATCAGGAATTGGAATATTACCTTAATGTAAATAGTAAACACAATGACCTTGATGGAGATAGGTCAGATCTGTTACCAATGTGACAAGGAGAAACTCATGGCTTAAGTCCAAAACAAGCAAAGTGGCTCAGTCAGATGCCTCCCTAATCCTTGTGGGGGTAAGAAGAAGGGGAGGAGGTGCAGAACAGTCAGACTTGCATGATTCTATATAGCCACTCTCAATACAAAAGCCTTATTTTACCTGTGGAATTGATTTGTGGACTTCTTGGTGAGGCTGACTTTTACATGATTTGATCTTATCCCATTTTTGCCAATTTTTTTTGAGTTGATATACACAGGATTGTTCAGATGTCCTTGGATCAGTCATTGTATATCAAACATGCATATGTTCCTCCAGTAATTTGAAAGCTTATCAAGGATTGGTGAGGCTGAGCTTCACGTAAGAAACTTCCTTAATGTCAAAGCCCTGAAAAGCAGCAGTGCACATTTTCGACTTTATTCCATATTACAATCGCTGAATGGTCTATTTGGAGATCAATTTATTAATAGGTGTTTGTGGTTTGGTTTGGTGATGAGGGAAAGTCCATTACTATGCTTACTTGTGTCAGCCTAAGATATCCCTAGAATAGGCTTATCTACTTGATCTGAACCCAACTGTGCTTTTCAAAAGGCAGCTGGACTTTGTTTTTCCTTGAAGACGTTTCACTTCTCATCCAAGAAGCTTCTTCAGTTCTGACATGCTTCTTGAATGGGAAGCAAAACATCTTCAAGGAAAAACAAAAGTCCAGTTGCCTTTTGAAAAAGCATATATGGGAGAACCATGACCTGGATGACTGAGAATCTCCATAGATACTTGATCTGAAAGCTTGTAATTCATCTGTTGGACAATTATGGTTTTAACAAACACGCCAGTTTTATGTTGATTTGGATGCTCAACCATGTGCATTCAAGATCAAGGAATAAAATAAAATAAAGTGAGGCTCGCTAGGTGAGTTAGTTGCCTTTTCACGGTGCCATTTCCCACAGGCCTGTATTTACTGTATGGCTGCAATTTTGTGGAGAGCGGCAAGAAGCAATTTTCCACCTGATCACAAATTGGCGTTGCCAGGGCAACTGAAACATTTTCTTCTGAATATGGCAAGAAGCAAGCCAGAAGACCGCCCTTCTCTAGCAAATGCAATTAAGGTGAATTAAATGCAGCAATTTAATTTTCAGTTTTATTTCCATAAACCACCTTAGTAACAACAAATAAAAATTCCTATTGGCTTTTGTAATCCATCCAGCTTGTGTGGTTGCCCTAGTGGCTGTTTTCAACACACCTTCATGGGATTTTGAAAGAATATTAATTTTGAGCAACTTTGACTTAACTGTAATAAAGGTTCTCCATAAATTTAAATGATTTTAAAAGGTTTTAATACACACCTCCTCTTTCTTAGTATCTATAATTCAACATGAAATTTCATATTTCTAGATTTGTCGCAGTTATCTGCTTGAACAAAATATCAGCAGCAAGATGATTCTAGAAGTTTTAGCAAAAATGGCATTTCAGGTATGAATATTAGGGGTGGGGTGTGCATGTGTCTACATTTTGAGGAACAAATCCCTCCCTCCCCCTTTTTGCTGTTGCTATAGCAGCAGAACTGGAGAAGGAGAGAATATGAATATATAGTTGTGTATATTCCTTCTGTCCTTCTTTCCTTCAATAGTTTTATGGTGACCTTGGACCTTTTCAAAGGCCATTTTGACTGCCAATTGATTCAAGCAACAAAAATAAGTATTCCAGTAACCTAACATTTCTTGTTCCTGTAACCTGATTTTTCTTTTGCTCTGCTTTGGGGAAAACTAACTTAACTTCTTTATTTTTTTTATGCATTGGGATCTTTGAGGTGAAAGAGGTTAAAAGCAGCCTATACAAAAATCTAGATAATAGTACAGAGGAGCTTCAACTATCGTTCACAATAGGAAAACCATTGTAAATAGCCTAGATTTAGAACTGGCATTTAGCTCCAGGAGTTCCTTCTATCTTTTATTCTTCTGACTTCCTTGAAATTGGAAGTATAAAGAATTGAGGCCCTTAGGCAAAATAGAGGAAACATTTCTATTTCTCGCTGTATTGTGAGCGCCTGCATTTCTATGCATGGATGCTGAAAACAGAATTTTTAAGACCTTTCTTTTCTCATCCTTCATTATTTTGCTGATAGGACTTCAGAGGAGAGGATTCTTTTAATGTTAGCTGGCCTTTTCAAAATGAAAGTTGCTCAGGAAATGCTAACTTAGGTGAGTATTTTTCTCTAAATACCTTGCTGTTCCTGGTTCCTTTTTAATAAGAAAAATCTAAGTAATGTGCCCAAACATGTTTTTTGGTCAACTGCTGTTCACTCTTCTTTAAACAGCATGCATTTTGTTAATTGTATTCCCACTTTCAGGATTTTTGCCTATGAGCAATGAAAGCAAACTGATAGCCGTAGAAGGACCAGTTCCTTGCCAGTCACCTTTAAACAGAGAACAGATCATGTTACCAAATGCCTTCACTTCTTCAGCAACTCATTTTAAACCTATTATTCTGCATCAGAATGTAAATCATAAAATGTAAGTCTGGTTGTGTGTTGTCCAAGCAATGATTAATTCCAGTTAATGGGAGGCAAGTTACATTTATTGTACAATGATACCGTCTTTTTCACTAGGATGAAGCTAATCCCTTCATAAAGATCTGATTTTGCAGAAATTTGCAGAAACAAATTTAAACTCCCCTGGTTCTGTTCCTTTATCCCTTCTTTTATCAACAGAGAAGTTTGGATGCTGTCTTTAATTTGCCCCAGTTGAGTTTGGTTTAACCTTAACGGTTCCTTTCAAACCAATCCGCTTCAAATCATGGTAAAAGAATATCAGTTTATAAAATAAAATTCATTTAGTACATCATGTTGCAATATATTGCTATGTAATAGTCTTTTTAGAAAAAAAATCAGGTCTTTTAGAATGCTGTGCATTATATTCTTTAATCATATTTTTCTTAACAGCAAAAAAAAAAAAAGTAAACACCAGTTTTCAGCCAAAATGTTGAAAAGCATAGTCATGTGACCACAGGGTGCTGTAAATGCAGGTCAGATGTTGAGGGCCCAAAATGTGGTCATGTGACCATGAAGGGGCAGCTGTTGCAACTAGGTCATAAGTACCTTTTGGGTGGTCTTGTGATAACTTCGAATGGTTGGTAAGTAACTGCTTGCAAGCTGAGGACTACCTGTTGTATCTTACCAACTGAATATTTTTATTCTCCTGCATTTATCTTAAATATATTTTCTCATAATGTCTAACATTTGGTGAACTGCAGCAAAATGTCAAGAATATTCTTGCCCTGAGTTTTACACAACCTTTACTCAGTGGTGGGATTCAAATATGTGAACAACTGGTTCTCTGTGTGGATACCACTTCCAGCAGTCCATTCTGGGCCTGGGCAACAAAAAATTAGCTACCGGATCTGCTGAAGTGGTGAGAACCGGCTGAATCCCACCACTGCCTTTACTATTGGGTATTTCCTTTTCTCCCCGGACCTTCCTTTAACTTTACACTGCTGTCCTGGAGCTCTGATTGGGGCTGGCTACCAACCATGAGCCTATACAGGTAGTCCTCAACTTACGACCACCATTGAGATCAAAATTTCTGTTGTGAATTTTGCTCCATTTTAAGACCTCTCTTGCTCCAGTTGTTGGGTGAATCACTGCAGATTTTAATTTAACAACACTGTTGTTATGTGAATCTGGCTTCCTCATTGACATTGCTTATTAGAAGGTCGCAAAAGGTGATCACATGATCCCAGAATGCTGCAACCGTCATAAATATGAGTCAGTGGCCAAGCATCTGAATTTTGATCGCATGACCATGAGGATGCTGCAATGGTCATAAGAGTGAAAAACGATCATAAGTTACTTTTTTCAGTGCCGTTGTAACTTTGAACAGTCGCTAATGAACTGTTGTAAGTTGAGGACTACCTGTATTCATTGATGTTTAGTTTTTTCTTCAACAAGATAAGTTAAACATCCAAGCTCCTAATATAATATATGAGATATATCATGTTTCCCCGAAAGTAAGACCTACCCCCAAAATAAGTCCTAGTTTTGAGGTGAGGCACGTGCCTATAAATCAAGGTAGGGTGGGGGGGGAGCTGCTCCACACACCCTGTACTTGTTTACTATTGCAGCCAGGCCTCCCATGGATCGACACCTGCCTCGCCTCACCGGCCCACTTCTGCAGTGTCCCCCAGCCTGCATTTTGCAGTCAGAGGCCTTTCCAGAAGGCCTCTGCAGCCGAGAACCAGCTCGGTTCTCAGTTGCAGAGGCCTTTCCAGAAGGCCTCTGACGGTGAAATGCAGGCCGGAGTTCCATTCTCAGCTGCAGAATGAAGCTGCTCCTTTGGCTGCAGAAGGAGTGGGCTGGCTTGGCAGGGCTGTCGGTACCTCTGCTGCGAGGTGAGTGGAAAAGACAGTCCCTGAAAATAAGACCTGGTGCCTCTTTTGGAGGTAAAAAAAATTTAGATAGGGTCTTATTTTGGGGAAAACACGGTACGAATGTTTTCTTCTCATGTGTTCTTTTAATTTACAAAGTTATATGCTTCTGGATACCTAGAATTACCCATTACTCATAAACCACTACTCTTTTGTTTCCATGCTGATAAGCATTCAGCTCTTGAAGTTGCTTTAGCAAGAATCACACCACAGCTACCATTAATGGATGGATAGTCGGTGTGAAAAATCACATTGATATAACCATCTCACATGACCTTGTAGAATAAAGCACCCATGTTGGCAAAGCGAATCTTATAAATCATCTTCTTGCTTTCCAGAGATGCCATTGCAACCCCTGTTATAGACTGTGAAACTATGACAAGAATAGCATCTGTGAGTAGCAGAAGTCCAATACATTCAAGTAATGACAATGAAAATAAGAGTGATGAAATTTCTAATTTGTCTACTACCTGTATGATGCCTGGTGCTCCGGAGCATAATAAAGAAGAACCAAAAATACTACAACAGAAGAATTCCGAAGAGGAATTTCCAAGCAATACTAGTTGCTCTAACCCTATCTTACCAGTTTCTGACTCTTCAGATGTGCCTCAAGAGAAATGCATTTTGGAAGCATCTCCCTTGGCTAATCCCGAGTCTACTGTCCCATCTAGTATGACTTTTATAAATAATTTTCTTTTAAAGCAGGATCCAGAGACAAGGGTTTTGACTCTTGTACCCGTGCAGATAGCAGTATCAGAGCAAATACCCAATAAACCCCTCTATTCAAAAGCAACTTACAGCTGTTGTCCAAGTTTACATGTGCTCCTTTCGGAACCTGCAATGACCTATGATGCTAACAGAGCCTTACAAACAAGTTCATCCTTAAGTAATGCAATCAAGGATCAATTCTACCATGATCAAAATAAATGTGGGGACATAAAAGTGAAGACAGGTGGTTTAACGCCAACGACAATTAATAAAGAGACTCAAACCAAGTGCTATGAAAGTAATCCGTGCCTTGCATCCTGGAAGAAATCCAGTACAGATGCAGAGGATAGATTCCTTTTATCAGATCACACACTGGATGCCTTGGTGGATCAAAATTCTGCTGGTTCATTCATCCTAGAAACGTCTCAGCAAAATAAAGAAACACAGAATGTTCCCTTGCAGAATATTGTGCAACTTATCCAAGAAGAGTTTGCATTTGATAAATCTCAGGACAATGTTGCAGAAGCCCTGGCTATAGGTAGGCCTTAATATTTTCATACCAGATTGCAAATACTAAAAAAAAAAAAAAAAAATGTAATTTAGAGGATTTTTTTTACAGTTATCAGATCTCAAAAAGCGTGGCTATATATTTTTAAGTTTGCAAGTCACATATAGGATAAAAATCTTGGTCTGTGCAGTTTTTGTTTTACTTTTGTTTGTATTGTCTTCCTAGGAATATGACTTCGTTATTTTCAACCAACACTGGAAAGAAATGGGGGGAGGGGGGAGAGAAATAAACCCCAATAAGCTAACCATTTTTTTTTTTACATATCCCACTATTTTTTGTTTTTTGTTTTTTGTTTTAAATCAGGTAAATATATTTTCACCTTAAAGGATCTCCAATACAATACATTCTGTAATGCAGTTTCTGAGAAATTTTGTCAACGTTACTGGGAAGAAAAATTGCTAGCAAATCTTTATGGTGCAGCAAATGATAGAACTCCAGTACCTGAAAGGCAAGTGATTCTTGCATTTACCTTTTAATGCCAGTTTTGCTTTTGCTTATCTTACTGTTTTGTTCTGTTTGCTGTTTTAATTCTTCCACTATTCCCAGCACTCATCTCTCCAAATTGACTTTTTAATATATATTGGCTTCCATTTTCTCTGGCGGTTCTGAATGGACATTGGTCAAATGTCTGGTTGCAATCTGGTGTGTTCCATTATTCTGAATTCCTTCACTTTTCACAACCATGTCTGTATCACACTTCCTGGATACCAGCCCAGTGTTTAATCTTTGTGATTAAAAAAGAGGAACAAATACTTGAGAAAGTCATTGAGTAGGCATGTACTGTGGCATTTAAGAATTAGGGGACTGGAGACTAAACCATGTAAAGAACGGCTGCTGGAATTGGGTATGTCTAGTTTAATGAAGAGAAGGACGAGGGGGGACATGATAGCAGTGTTCCAATATTCTCAGGGGTTGCCACAAAGAAGAGGGGGTCAAGCTATTTTCCAAAGCACCTGAAGGCAGGACAAGAAGCAACGGATGGAAACTAATCAAGGAGAGAATCAACCTAGAACTAAGGAGAAATTTTCTGACAGTTAGAACAATTTAATCAGTGGAACAACCTGCCTCCAGAAGCGGTGAATGCTCCAACACTGGAAGTTTTTAAGAAGAGACTGGACAGCCATTTGTCCGAAATGGTATAGGGTTTCCTGCCTGAGCAGGGGGTTGGACTAGATGACCTCCAAGGTCCCTTCCAACTTTACTACTATTATTATTATAATTGTGTAGGAGCCTAAATTGATAGGCACATCTGTATAGGCATAAACATGAATACACGGACATAAACATGAATAGACTCAGGAGAGACTATAAAACACTCAGTTGTGAGCACAAGCTGTTTTGCAATCAAACTGAAATCTCTTTTGTTCCAGCTATGCAGTATGTTCTCTAGAGACTAGTTAGATACAAATATATTAACTCCAAAACTTCATTGAGCACATAATAAAGTTGTCTGGCTTCATAATTTCAGCATTAAGTGCAAGACAGACTCAAACCATATGGCTGGTTTTTTTTATAAGAGCTTATATCACAAGCGCCTGTTCTTTTGGCAGTGTTTCTCGTGACTAATTTGGTAGATAGTGACAAAAAACATCCTTGCATGTCTGTTCTCTGATTAAGTCTCCAAATGGTTCATTAGCATATTTGCCAAATTTGTCTACATACAGGGCAACTTTAGAGACAGAAAAGATGGGAAGAATTAAATGTTTCTATTGCATATCATTGTTTATCAAAAGGTCAGGTTAGAATACTAGAAGAGTGCCTTTCAATCGATCAGCTGGATACTTTTTCATATTGATTTCTATGCCGAACGCAAAATAATGATTTTTGTTTTAAAACCAACATTTTCAAAGCAATGAAGCAGGAAGCTTAAGACAGTAAAAAAAAAACATATACAGACTTAATGATTGGTCGCTTAGCAAGTGCAAGTGTTTGAAGTTTCAACTTACCTAGAAAAGGGGACTTAAAACCCAGATCCAAAATTCCAATGGTCTCATTCACACACACACACACACACACACACACACACACACACACTGCCACAGTCACATGATCACAGTTTGGGCACTTGGCAACATGGCCACATTGACCACGGTTTGCAGAGTCCTGTGGTCACCTGGCCACATTTTAGGATCGTTTTGCTGAAAACCAACACTTCTGGGTTTCATCAAAACCACATCCAGAGCACATCATTGATTTGCTTAACAACTGTGGTGTTCGCTTAATGACCGCTGCAGACAATGTCATAAAAAAGGTTTTATAACCATTGTGTCTTACAATCGTAATGAGCAGGCTTCATTACAGTCATAATTTGAGGACTCTCTGGAAGGGTTGTGCAGTGAAAGGTAATTTTTGGTATATTTCTTAGCTGTATATCTATTATGGAACAAGGCTTGGCTTACATGTGTGCTAGAAATAGTGCAGTGTTTAATGCACACATTACACAATTTATATACTTCCTCATACATCTTTCCATCATATATTATTAAAGCATGAAATGACTTTCTGAATGCTGTGGACTTCTATTTTCATTTAGGACATTTGTGTTGCAATTTTGCTCTGACAAGAAAGGGGAGACTTCAGAAAGCTGAATTACTGAAAAAAAAATTTGACGTAATTATTTGGGAGTAGCAAGTGTAGGTCAAAAGGCAAATTCATTATACTTTGGATTGCTGCTACCTTCCCAAATAGAGTGAAGAAAGTAGCTAGATCAGGGAACATAAATATTTGAAAGCCTGAGTCAACATAAAGATAGGCCGGGTTTTTTTTCCTCCTTAATAGCTGTGTTGTAGAGGTGTCTAGAGAGAACAGGTGGTAAAATTGTACACATGCATTTAAAGTTTTATCATTCACAGCTTGATGAAATTCTACCTGTTTAATGTTTTATCTGAGCCTTAGCTAGCCACTGTATGAGAGTTGTTCCACTGAAGAAAGTGCCATGTATTTTGAATGTCTAAAAGCTTTGAAGCTTTTCCATTTTTTGATTGAAATGCACTCACACAGTACACATGGTGGAAGATGCAAATACTTTAGCTTACCTTGGAAGTTTTCCACCTCCCAAAGCATTTCATTTATGAATATGTATTCAGATGTTCATCTCTTACGCTCTCCCTCATTTTCAGAATTAATGAACCACAATATTTGAGCAAGACTTTCCAAAGCAAACCAAATACCTTTCTGAGTGGAAGTGAGGAAGCAAAAGGTATGAAACAGTTAATGGGCATGTCATACGTTCATTGATAGCTAATGACTATAAACCCGCAGCAGTTAAATCAAGTTATGAAGCAATAGCGTTTATGTCCTACTAGATATAAGGAGAAGAAGAGCAATGGGGATTTTGAAATAAAGATGTACAGTATATCCTTGGAAAACTGGCTACAAGTGAGCCTACTGGAGAAGGTTGTGCTAATGTTATTGTTGCATACAGCAATCAGATTTAAGATTTAGCGTTCCTTTAGTTGAAGTGCCATGTATCTCAGATCGTTTAAACTCATGATGCTTCATGAGATGAAGGAGTCTAATATATAGTCATCCTGAAATGGATATGATTTGATCTGAAACACTAGAATATTAAATATATTGATCAGAATAATGTTCTGATAATAGTTGAGGTTCTTCTGAAGATACCTCTGTTGCTAAAATTTGACTATCTGGAATGTGGGAAAAGCCACATCCTGTGTGACTTGCAGGCTAAGCAATGCATCTGCTCCAACTCTCCTAACTGCATAGGGAGCATTTAGGGCAGATTAATAATATTGTTCTCACAAGTCTATCAGGATGTTCTTTAATATTCCTGATGTTCTGTTTAGTCTACTTTTCTAGACAAGTAGACATATTTCCAGTAAAATCTTTGGAACATCTATTAGCATTTTTGTTTTTTAATAGCCCGAGAGCTATCTGAAGCCACTGTTTAAAATAAGGAGATGCTTTGCATATCACCTAATTTTTGTGTGCGTGTATGTGGGTGGTGTGTAAATTAAGAACAATATATAATGGGTGTAAAACATGGGTGAGACTAAGTAGAATGAATAGCAAATCATTCAATATTGTGTAGAAATAAGACAAAGTTTTTAATTTATTTGATTTCATTTATTCAATGTACGCATTGCCCAAGTTCATACGAAGATAAAAAAATAAAATACAAAAACAGAGAACAAAGGTGGGAAATTTAGCCACTAGACTAGAGGAATATAACTAATGTAAAGTATTACAGTTTCCTTTCTTTGCTCTTTAATTTTCCATACAAATGTAGTTCATGTTGCTGGCATGGATTCCGATGAGAAGGAAGTTGAATCACAAACTCTCCTGGTTGGAATGCAGATGGAGGGAGAATGTTTGGAGACCGAAAAATGTTGCAGTGGGCCACATGTTACAGAAACAGAACAAAAGCAAGAAGAAATTCAAGAAAAAATGGAAGAAAATATATACTCCAGCTCTTCCTCTCTTTCTGAATTGCCTGGATTTTATCCTGGTTGGAGCAGCGCATTCTATGGCTCAGAATGGTTCAGTCTAGATGTACACAATTATTTTAGAAAACTTGGAAAACAAAAAGCTCGTGGAACTCAAAATATCGATGCCAAAAAAATGGTAAGTCATCCTGTTTTCTTAAGACTGAAAAACTGTTGTTCACCTTGGGTAGAATGTAATATAATGCAATATATGAAAGGGAGTTATGGTCATGGATTTTGGATGCATTCTGTAGGTTAGCCCATTTGAGGTACCTTGGTTCAGAAATTGTTGCTGTATGATGCACTCTTTTGCCCAGTTAAAGGGTACAGGAAGGAGAGTTTTAGTAGTATACAGATAAAACCAACTCACTTACCATCTGGTGTTCTTATCAGAGAAATTACCATTGTAACCCTCAAGAATCTCTACCTTCGGGAAGAGGTTTGTAAGGCAGGCAAGAGATGGCTTTTATTTCAACAAATTAAAAACATATGTTGAACTGTACTTAAGTATTTTTTCCTAACACAAAGAGATACTCTTTGGCTTTGGATCACTGCATTCCTATTATTACTTTTACTAAATATTTTTCAATCTGTAAATAAGCATCTATAGCTGTAAATAATGAATCTTCAAGAAGCCAATGCTTCGTTGCTTCTGAAAATAATAAAAATTCTTCTTCTTCTTCTTCTTCTTCTTCTTCTTCTTCTTCTTCTTCTTCTTCTTCTTCTTCTTCTTCTCCTTCTCCTTCTCCTTCTCCTTCTCCTTCTCCTTCTCCTTCTCCTTCTCCTCCTCCTCCTTCTCCTTCTCCTTCTCCTCCTCCTCCTCCTCCTCCTCCTCCTTTCAAAAGCTGGTACTGTACTTACTAAAAGAAAAACTATAATTACAATGGACTTATTGTTTATTTCAATTATTTGGTGATCCCAAAAGAAAATATATATTTTGCAATCTCAGATGAATCTTTAAAAGGGATTGGAAGTATTTCCTTGTGTATATTCATATTGCTTTACATGCAAATCTTTGTTGCAGTGGGATAAATGTATTTTTGAATAGGGCTGTGTAAATCAAATAAAATCAGATTCAAATCATCAGTTTGATGTCACCTTGAATTGATTTGGAATGTTGAACTGATTTTTTGTTCAGAAATTCCAATCAAATTGTCAAATAAAGTAGATTTTATTCATATTTCTGCAAGAGAAAAAACATTTTTTGTTCATGCACAGGAGTATCCAAACATTTCTATTCCACTGAGGGGCATTCTGAATTTATTTTCAATTTAGAAAACATATTTGATTTAGAGGTTCACTTGAGCTGATTGAATTGACTCTCCCAATCAAATATTTACAAGGCCCTTGGCTAGAATGATTGCAGGAACTTCAGTAGGGCTAGTTAATATTTATATGGATTATAAATTCATTCTTAAGGAACTCTCAGAATTTTTATTAAGCTTGTAAAGTTTTCAAAGAGGAGAAAAAATTAATAACCAATCTTGTACTTTAGGCAAAATGCACTCAGGAAAACAAGAAGTAAAATATGTTTGTTTATGTGATAAGTCAGTTTGTATACCTCATAATAGAAAACTGAGATATAAATGATTTTAATAACACAAAGAAGATGTTGAGCCATGTGACTAGCCCCTGATTGTCTCTCAATATCTTTATAGATATTTTTATTTACCTGCTGATTTTCCTGTCAGGGCAGTCAAAATATGCTGATAGTTTCTCAGTATCTGAAGGTGGACTTAACTGAAATGTTAAATAATCTTGGTGAAGAAATATTAACATATTAACATTTCATTTACTCATGTATTTGTTAAGTATTTCACATAAAATGCAGAGATAGGCTAAAATAAATCTGAGTTACCAGTTTAACTATTTGTTACTTCGGACAGAATGGTCAGATGTTGGAGGGCTTATAAGAAACTGTTGAGATACAGTACATTATGACTTGTTATAGCTTCTATTTTCCCTTTCACGTGTTGCACTGGATATGATTTAGAACAGGCGTGTCCAACCCACAGCTCATAGGCCCACATACAGTCCTGGACAGCTAGTAATGTGACACCACAAGATCATAAAATTTTAACATTATTATGTGATCCATATATATTAACTATATTATATATTTTATATGCGACCCAAAGCAATTCCTCTTCACTCAGAGCAGCCCAGGCAAACCAAAAGATTGGACACCCATGGTCTAGAGCTTACTGAAACAGAATGTGGAGGATTATATCTTCACTTGGAGCAAATCATAAATGATATCCAGGTTTAGGTATCAGAGGGATTGGCTAGGAACTGGGAAGATCTAATATGAAGCACAGCAATAGCAGTAGCACTTAGACCAGTGGTTCTCAACCTTTTTAATGCCGCGACCCCAACCGGTCGTAAGTCAAGGACTAAACCGGTCGTAAGTCGAGGACTAAACCGGTCGTAAGTCGAGGACTTTCCCTGCCCGGGAGCGCCACGCATGCGTGGTTCCGCCCCCTGCGCCGGCCGAGGCGTAGCTGGCAAGCAGCAGAGACAGAGCAGGCCGACCACCAGCTGGCCCAGCCCCAAGGGAAGTAAGGCACCCGCCGGAAAAGGGGGAAAAAATGGCAGACAAAAAAAATGGCAGACAGCCTTGCTTGGCGACCCCCATGAAATGGTCGATCGACCCCAAATGGGGTCCCGACCCACAGGTTGAGAACCACTGACTTAGACTTATATATCACTTCACAATGCTTTACAGCCTTCTCTAAGCGGTTTACAGAGTCAGCATATTGGGTCCTCATTTTACCGATCTTGGAAGGATGGAAGGCTGAGTCAACCTTGAACCCTGTCAGGATCGAACTCTAGATTGAGTTTGCTTGCAATACTACATTCTAACCACTGCACCACCACGGCAAGAAGCACTACTAAATATTTTGAAGAACGTGCTGTTAAATTGATCCTTATGCTACTCAATTTTCCTTATCAGAAGTCCACAGAGAAATAGCAACACTTTCATTTTGTTGTGCCTTTTCCACCAGGAACTTGACCAGCTGATAATGATCGAGACAAAAAATTACAGGAAGACCATAACCTTCCACCAAAGGCTGTTGTATAAAGAGAGAAGCAACAAAGGTATATTTGTGAAATGAATTTAACAACTGTCTTATAGCAATTGTTCATCTGTGCTGATGCAACGTGGTCCTGATTGCACTTTTCAAATCTTGAGGTGGAGAAATAAAAGCTTTGTTGCCAAAGCTGGAGAGACAGATAGAAGAAATGAAATCAAAGATACGGTTTCTTGAACTTGTGAAGAAGTATCTCCAGGTAACTATGTGAGTTTTCAAAAATTGGGTGTGGACATCTATTTCTACATCAGTGAATGTCTAGGCTTCCATGCATTGACATACTATTCAGGTGACAACTGCACTTGTCCAACATAATTGCTCTAATTAGGTAAAGCTGCAAAGTTGGATTCTTCATCATCCACACGGTTTCTCTCTCTTTGTAAAAGAGCCATTCAAATAGACCAAATACTAATGAAAGTCATTGTGATGTACAAATGGTATTTTTGTGGCATCTGTGGAATGCTGTTTATATTTCCAGATGTCGTCCAGTGTTTTGCATGGGAAGCAGTTTTGCCATGACGTAGGGCATCATTCAGTAAAACATTATTCAAATTTATAGCATAGGGCAGTGGTGGCGAACCTATGGCACGCGTGCCAGAGGCGGCACTCAGAGCCCTGTCTATGGGCACGCACACTATGCCCCAGAGATGGCAACCATCCCTCTTCAAGCAGCCGCCTGCTAACTCGCCGAGGTCCCACATGGCCGGATGCATCCCAGCATGCTGGTTTCCCTCCCCTCCGTCCCATCCCTGCTGGCCTCGCATGCTCTCCTTTTCCCAGGCACGACCCACTGCATTGCTTCCTCAGCTGTCGGCCGGCCGTCGAGCTCAGAGGCGGCTTCTCTGAACTGCTGGCAGCGGACTGCGGAGCCCTAGAGTGCGCCGGTCAACCCGTGTGTGGGGGTTGTGCGGATGGTGTCAGGAAGCAACCGCCCTGGCCCCTGCATCGCCTTGCCCTGCAACAATGGCACTCCCGCCCTGCCTCCCCTCCCCTCACCCTGCAGGATGAGCCTCCTGCCCACTGTCCCATCCACCAGAGACCCCCTAGATCTCCCCCAACCGTGTCCGGCCCCCACAGGAGTCCCTGCCCACAAGCAACATCGAGGTGACCACGCTCATCATGGCCACACTCACTCATTCTGCCATGACCACCACAGCCACGCCCACCCAGTGGGCCATGCCCACCTGGCACCCGGCGATAAATAAGTGGGTTTTGGATTGCAGTTTGGGCACTTGGTCTCTAAAAGGTTCGCCATCACTGGCATAGGGCAAAATAAATATATTCAACAATCCTATTAAGGTAATGACTAATTTGTTTTCTGCTGCATATCCCTACCCGTTTTAGAAATAGTCCTAGTCCAGGTAGTTGGCAGGAATCAAAAACTGACTTGAAGACCAAAAAAAACCCAACTCCCCACACACCATATTTGTACTGCATTTTTTTCCCCTTCTTACCCCACATCTTTTGGAAGCGTTTTTTTTCCCTCTGTATTTTTTCTGTTTGTTTCTTTCTTGTCTCCTTTTGCTGCAGATTCTGTATGCAGAAAAATGGGGTGTTGAGCCATGCAACTTTCTTACAGTGGTTAATATGGGAAGAAATGAACCATCGGACATCAGTGCCTTAGATGGCATGTTACTTTTTTATCATCTAAGCAAAACCCCAAGTGAAATTCAGTATAATGACAGTCAGAATTGCCCAAGAAGTCTTCAAGCCGGAACGCCACTTGCATTAATGGCATATCTGTATTCCAGGTACAGACTCTTTTGCACTAGAGATTATGGTACAATAAAACCGGGTATCAGTTCCAGCCTTAAGGCCACTTCAGGTTTTCCCTAGAAAATGTGATATTGGTCCATCTAGCTCATGTACCTACTTGATTAGGTACAGCAGCTTTATAGGACTTTTCCAGTTTTCCTATCTGTGGAAATATAATGCTTGTTGAGAGGCTAAATGGAGAAATTTCATGTACAATTAAAAGATTTTTTAGTTTACGAGATCTTTTTTCCTTCATTTTTCAGTAATCGAGGGAAATGATTTATATTCATTTTGGAGTTGGGATCAAAAATCTTCAAGATATTTTGGTTTTCTTATCTCCAATTAATAGGACATTATGTACTGTAAATAAAAGCACAACTGTTCTTCTGAATATACAGTTAGTCCTCAATTTACAACGATTCATTCAGTGACTGCTCATAGTTACAATGGCACTGAAAAAAATGTAACTTAGAATCAGTCCTTGCACTTACAACCACTGCAGCATCACTACTGTCACGTGATCAAAGTAAAATTAACAGGAGAAGCTGGGTTGGTTTAATGACTGCGTGATCACTTAACAACTGCAGTTATTTGCTTATCAACCATGGCAAAGCTCGTAATATCAGGCATGATTCATTTAACAATTGCCTTGCTTAAGCAACCGAAATTGTGGTCCCAATTGTCGTCATAAGTCGAGGACTACCTGTAATCGGTTAATTTGTGCGAGAATTTAGTCTAGAAAAGAGGAATGACTGTCAAACATATTTCAGTGACCGTCCCACTGGATAGTTTGCAAAAACAAAAGAAGAAAAGAATGATTACTAGGCTAGAATCCTTACCATTTTTTGCAAACCTTTAAAAAATCTGGGGGAGGCAGGGGACAAGAAGACTACTGATCTGTTTTTCTCACGTTTTTTGGTCTAAAGTCCAGCGAAAAGGCCCCTGTCATGTAAAAACTTAGGAAAGCAAGATAAATGGTTATTTCTTAACTTAAAAATGTAGTAAGTCTTGTCTTACTACATTTTTAAGCATCCAGACCAACAGAAATTGTAATAGCTTTGTCCACTTCTTAGGTGAGTGCTTAATTCTGCAGTTTTTAGAAACAAAATTGATTTTTCAAATTTGTAGACTGCAGCTTAAAAGTGTTTTTGGCTCACAATAATGTCAAGAAATGTGTTACTTGATATCGTGCATTTAACAAAACTATTTCAGAGAGAACAACAAAAAGAAATTGTGATATTAAGTGATACCTAATTGAATAATTTCCTTTTGCTTCCTATTTTTCTGTTGTTCTTGAGTCCAATAAAGCATATTTTAGCTTGCTTCATTGTTTTCCTTTGTATTCTTCAGAAATGCATTTTTAAAAGGCTATGTTCAACAGTTTCTATTCACTTTTCGCTACTTCTGCTCACAAGAGGAACTTTTACAATTTCTTCTTGATAGGATCAGAATTACCTTGCCAGGGTAAGTAATGAAATCCCATTGAAATCAGGTACATTTGAGTTCACTAGTATTTAAGTGGCCTTCATTATGTGCCTTTTCATAATTATGAAGAATTGCTTAATTTGTAGTCAAAGGACACAACCGAATACGCTAGTTCTTGTGCCAGTTGAAGTTTTTGCCACCTTTAGATTTCCTACCTGGATTACCAAGCCTTTTTCTTGTCATAATAACAAAATTAGCAATTGTGCTGTCCTTAAAGTTTCAGTGCAGAACAAAGTAAGGAAAGTGATTGGCAGATTTTCTTACCTTCATTTTCTCTTACATCAAATATCTCTCTAACACGGAAAGGATCGGGTGATTGTTACAGGTGCTTGGAAAGGACTACAGGTAGTCCTCAACTTACAACAGTTCATTTAGTAACCGTTTGAAATTACAACAGCACTGAAAAAACTAAGTGATGACCATTTTTTACACTTATGACCTTTGCAGCAACCCCATGGTCAGGTGATCAAAATTAGGATGCTTTGCAACTGACTCACATTTATGACGGTTGCAGTGTCCCAGAAGGTCATTCTTTGCGACCTTCTGACAAGCAAAGTCAATGGGGAAGCCAGTTGTTAAGTTAGTAATACGATTCTTAACAACTGCGGTGATTCACTGAACAAATGTGGCAAGAAAAGTCGTAAAATGGGGCAAAACGTGCTTAACAAATTTCTCACTGAGCAACAAAAATCTGGGGCTAAATTTTGGTTGTAAGTTAAGGACTACCTGTTCTGTCCCGTTCCGACCCACACACCCAAACAGCCAGCCGAGGGTTAAAGACTTCTCCAGACACCACAGATAAGAAACTTGGCAGCAGCTCCGTAGCTGCCTGCCAAGACCTTTACTCCAAACACACAGAAACAAAAACAATACACACAGTTGAATGCCACAGCACACTACTTTGCCAGAGATTCAGCTTTTGTCCGTCACAGAGGTCCAAATGGCCACCACCACCCTTTTATAGCCTGTGGGGTGTGGTCCAGTGACTCAACTTAATCTCTGGCACGTCTCTTTTTATGCTGCGCACGCTTATCGCTCCTACGCTGGCGTGGATCCAGT